CGTCGTGTTTTAACTGGCTGCTTGCTGTATCATTTAAAAACACAGCACAACACCAATGTGACCTTCATTCAGATGCAGTGCTCTTAAAACAACCCTCACACACTGGGTGTTATGCATTGGAAAACATCATCAAATCTGAAAAGAAAACAAGCCAAATATTGCACGATGCAGAATGCAATACCTTTTGGGAGGAAGTGGATCAGCTGTTCTCCCCACTGCAGGGTTTCTCATTCAGGAGCGCTGCTGTGTCCGCATGTGTCACGACGGTCCGAGATGCTGCTGCTGTTGTTGTTGTTGTTGTTCAGAGTCTACTGTTCATAGTTCTTCCGCTGAGACAGTCTTCTCTGCGGATTTGTGTGTGTGTGTGTTTTTTTATTTATCAATTTTTTTGAATGAGAGTGAGATGTGGTCACGTAGGTCTCCACGCTCACCAACATTTACTTCTGTCCTGTCTTCATTCACAAATATTCGCACGTTACACAAGCACGCGACCCTGCTTTTTTTTTTTAAACACACAAAAAATTATTAATTGATATGAAAAAATAAATAAATTATGCTGTGGGAAAGCTGCGTGGGAATTTTACGGAATGCAATTTTGCAGCTGCATGGATGCAACGAAAATATGTCGATCACATCACTGATTATCCAAAACTAAAATGATCACATTACTTCATAAATAAGCAGTTTGAGCATTTTGTAGTCCACTTAAAGGCAATAAACAGCTATATACAACACAATGCATAAAAAAGCCAGGGAGAATTAAGGTGAGACACTGCAGGTGAATAAGGGAAAAAAATGAACTACTAATTATCACCTTACTTACCCAGTTGATTGATTACATTGATAATCGCAAAAAAAAATGTGTATTACAAGTTTTCTAAAATGTTATGTTTAAATATGAGGCATTATTTAATTAAATATGTGCTAATTTGCATACATTTCCTGTACACAAATCTGAACACTGGATGAAGTCAGTTTCAAAATTCTTGTCTATTTATTTATTTTGACATATTAGAGGCAAATGTTTTATTTTTGTATCTCTTTTTGTCACTCCATAATTCAGAAAATACTTTGCACAGCCAGAAAACAATATATTTTCACAATTTTTGGGGGAAATAAAATGTTGTATATAATCACGCAAATTATATACGAACAAATCCCTCTGTAAAAACCTTCAGAATATAGACAGGAATAAAAATGTAAAGTTTGGTGTGTGTGTAAGTGCTACTGAAGTGGAGATGTATGGCTCAGTGTAGGAGAAAAAACTCATTTGGAGAAAACGGCCTTTAAAGATATATATTGTAATTGAAATCTATTGACACAAATAGATAATGGATGTTTTCGTTCCACTAGTCTGAAAAAACACTTTATGAAAAGCCCAAAATCTCAAAATTGACAGGTGCATGAAAAAACAGTGCTTTTGCCTGCAGTGTCTCCCCTTAAAACTAGGCTAATAATAATAACAATAATAAATACTTGTTAGGTTAACTAATATTCATTTGTTATTTTGATGGCGTTTTTATTCAAAGAGTAACGTTATCAGTGTGCAGTAGCTACTATTTCACAGTTTATTACATTTTGTAATTTACTACGTTCAGGTTGCTATTAGTAGCCTACATTCACATTTGAAATAAGCAACAATAATTATACGACTAATTAAATAAAATATTTGTATTAAGATAATTTTTGAAGCCACAACAGCCATATTTGTCTTGAGCACTGAATGTTCTCATTATTAAATGTGTTTCTTTCTTTAATTATTTATGTATTTATACTCCCACTGACGGGCTGGATAGATTTTATAATTTAAAAGAAACCTCATAATTGTATTTGTTTTAATGCCATCCGTTTGTTTTTGAACTTTTCTGTCGAACGTGTTATATAGGTGTATTATGACGACATTCTCTTCCACAGACATGAAAACCAATCAGGTTGAGGATAATTTGTGTCAGCCAACCAATCAGCTGCCGAGAGAAGTTCCGCGCTCCAGACAAACGCGAGCCCGCGCACACAACATCTCGCTTGTTTTCGATAATGCGCGTTCACAGCAAAGACACGTGCCAAAGCGCACGGCAACGCGCAGCAGTCCTTATAGCCATAGCACGTGGTTCAGGTAAACAGCGTGAAGGCCCGGATGTTGGTGCTATTTTTATCTTGAGACTCAGACAACAACAACAACGTCATCAGTTCTAACGGAAATTAGTTGTAACGATAAATATGATATAGTGATTATTGTTAAATAAACCCGTTTTGGCGAAAGGGAAGTAGAGATCTTGAGAACTGCCTCGAATGACGGCAATAATGATGGTCAAATAAGCGATACGCAAAATAAGCAAAGTCTTCTCAACCAAACTAACTCACATTCTCCATCAGCGGGTGTGTTTTTTAGAAACTGCAGTCAGTATGTATAACTAGGGAGAATGAAAGTGTTTTCTCGTTATAAATAGTTATAGTTAGACTCTGTTGCCATCTACTGTATCAACACTGATATTACTCCAAACGCTGCAGGCATTTTCATGATAATCACAGAAATTGTCCAGTGGCTGTGATAAACTTACAGTTCAAAGACTATATAATAATAACTATTATTATTATTATTAGTATAGTCTTTGAACTGTAAGGTTATTATTTTAGCTTACAGCTTGTACTTGAAGAACTGATTAAGGCCAACTAGACAGACATTTTTATTCAAGCTCACACTAATGTAAAGTATATATATACTTTTTTCCAAATTGTTTCCAGAATGTAATTATTTGCTTTTAGTTGTCATTGTACTAAAGCTAAAAATAAATCTGAATATTATTCTATAAGTTGATTGCATTTTTGCCTTAATGTTTCTACAAAATATTAAAATATAAGACAACTTAACTTGTGACTTACCCCAGCTTGACAACATGCAGTTACTGAAAGTATTATATATATGTGTGTGTGTGTGTGTGTGTGTGTGTGTGTGTGTGTGTGTGCGTGTATCTGTTTTTCTTTTC